ACTTTAAGTGCTGCCAATTGCTTGTTACTCCTTTAAACAGTTGCTGAAAAAAGTACCATTAATAACACTGAAGCTGATTAATTTATTTGTTGAGCTGCAGCAAATTAACCATGCACTCAAAGAATTTACCACAAATAACACTGTAGCTTTCTGAAAATTTAGTGATTATTTGAATTCACTGGAACCTTAAACTAAATGATGCTCAGAGGCTCTCCTTTTAGCATTTCGATCAATTATTTTGCTTTACAATCCTATTTAAATATCCCTTTTATATCCGTTTGTTTTCTTAGGATTTAATTTGGGAACTTTGAATTGCCTTGTAGTAGAAGTGGTCTGTAAAGGGCCTATAGATGTAAACCTTTCTAACTGTAGCTTAGTGTTCTCCACACAGGCAGTATCCTAGTCAAGGAGAGCATTTGAGAAGGTGCCAAGCTCTGTCTTGCAGGGTAGTAGCTCCAACGTACCTAATATTTAAGCATCAGTTTAAAGAAAGTATGTTTTTTCTGCATGTCTACCACTCTCACAGTCAGAAATTGGAAATACAATAAGCATCTCTTTATTTGAGTAGAGTAGAGTGTATTTGATGATTTCATCTGTATACTTTTGCAGAATAATGTGTTAACTTTCTTTGGGTTTAAGTGCAGGCAGACACACACACACACACACACACGCACACACACACCTCAGTTCCTCCCCTGTCAGTGGTAGTGAGGGATATTAATTGCTCTATGCTGGTTGACTAATGGGCCTTAAACGCCTGTGGTTCTGCTTGGTTTCAGCCGCTGCTTTCTTCGTCACCTACGAATACACAAAGGCCCTTCTCGGCACCGGTGGAGTGTTTGCATTACCACATGTGGCACCTGTCACTCACATGCTGGCCGCCTCCCTGGGAGAAGTAGTAAGTCAGCCTGTCCCTCATTCTCCCATCCTTTGTCTCCTCTCATGTGGATTTATATCCCTGTTTCACTCTGGCAGTAAACTGTTGAGTCATTTGTATTCTTTTGTTGGTCTAAATGATTCCCAGCACTTCCATATTTAGAAGGCCAGCTGTCTTTACATGCATATTTTTGCTCTTCTGTGTTCTTGCCCTTGTTGTTTCTTTCCCACCAATGTATGTCCCAAATGAAAACCAATGGCATGTCTCTTAATGCTTTCGCCTTTTAAATTTCGTAGACAGCTATTCAATGGAGTGGCTGGAGGGAGTATGTGGTTTTGGCTGTAGGCCTCAAGGTCCAGCTGGGTGAGTTAAGGGGGCTTCCTCGGTACTGTCCCAGCAGTTCTCTCAACCAGCTGGGTAAATAAGACCTCATTACTGCCTATTGATTCATCTACTTTCCCATCTCAGACCCCCAGACTCTGACAATTTAGTCTGGGGAATTCACGCTAGAAACCAATGAGAAGCAGCGCAATTTCCTCAGCCGAATCCTCTCCCAGTCACTTGTAGTGAACCGCAGGATTTGAGCCATAAGGGGGCCATGGGTATTCACACTGGCATGACATGGGGGATATGGAAAATAGGATGCCCCCCTTGGTATACCCTAGGCTGTCTGCAAAATGCTAGACATTCAGTATTCATGGCTTTTGGATGGGTATAATTTAGCCAGGTTTTGCATGTTTATGAAATGGGATTATTCCACATGGCAGGTTGTTCACTGTACTTTAGGTTACCTACGAGGTGCGATCAGAAAGTTCTGAGACTGAGCCTGTTCTGCAAGAACGGGGCGAGGCATGGCATCATGGTTTAAGACCTAGAGCCCAACAAGCCTTCTAGTGGGAGAGTTTCCTAGGAGCAGCTTGATCTGATGCATCATTCAGATGTTTCTTCCTCTTTCCCAGAAGGAAATTCAAGTTGAAAGCTTGACATTTTGACATGGTGGAAGAGATCCAGCATGGGTCGTTTAAGGCGCTTACAGAACAGAACTTCCGGAGGGAGCGATCCGAGTGTGGCAAAGCACAGAGAACAGCGCGGTGCTACACAAGTTGTTGTTTTGTTTTGTTTTTTTAATTTACAGAAGTCTGTAGCCAAACTTGGATCAGGGAAAAGTTTTTGCCTTTTTTAGATGGAGTCTCTAAACTTTTCAGGCCTCACAGTGTTCGCAAGAGGACATAATGATACTTGAAGATGAGCAAATCTTCCCCTAGTTCTCAGAATTAGTGTATCAGTTATTGGGGTTACCGTATGTGTTTAACACTTAACAATCAGAACATTTTTTTTTTTCAGGTTTTTTATGTATACTACCGTCAAGTTGAATGTGAAAGGTCAGGCAGAGGTTGCCACTACCTCTAACCTCATTGTGGATTTGAGCACATCAAAGGCACAAATCCACAGAATGGAGCCGAGCAGAGCAGGGGCGGTATCCTCCTGCATTCTGCCAGCTGAGATCGTCTTGTTCAAAGAGGCTAATCTTCAGGCTTAGCCATGAAAGGCCTACCCTAGTGCTGCCCCGAGTTAGATACAAGACCTAAACTTCTGCACTGTGATGCAACAGCAGCCAAATATGATTCTTTGTCTCAGTAGGTGCTAATGACTTTTTATAACAGTCTTGTTTTGAGTGTCTGACAGAAGTGGTGACAATTTCTTACATTTCTTAGTATTTGCCAAGAAAATAATTAATAACACAGGCAGCAGAAAATGTGTGATTAACAAACATTCTGGTAATCCTCACTTCCTGAAGTTTTGTTTGATGAGAGGTGTATCTGACTTACTTTAGCACTCTTTTATTTAGCTTCAGGAGACAAGACACCCTCTTTATGATGAGCATAAATCTTTTCTTTTTAATTGAATTTATAGTTTGGTCTTGATAAGTAAACTTGAAGCCATCCGTTAATTAGGCTGCTATGACTGCTGTAGTACTGACCCTTCCTTATTTTCTAGTCCTAATGTATATAATGTTGTGGGCATTTAGTTTGATTTTGTCGGTTCTCTCCTGTAGTTTTTCTCCTTTTGAATGTTCATGACCTCACTATACTCCACTGTTGTCTCTTCTCCTTACACTGGTCATGGCCTGCTTCTGCATCTTGTTTCTTTCTGTAAAATTCAGATTTTTCCTCACCACTCTCACCAAGTGTGTGCTTAAACAGGCTACTTTACAATATAAAGTGCTTTGAGATGACTGTTCTATTGAACTGGCAGCATATGATTAAAATTCAATTAAATGTAATTATTAATTCATTTCAGCACACTTCTTATGCACCTTTATAAGGATGGATGAACTCCCGCTATGGCGAGCAATCAGTTGTCCATCCGTCCATTCATAACTCACAAGAATTGCTGCTCCTCCTACATTGCTCAAGATTTGATCAAAGTTCCAGGCATTGATCTCCAAATGCTTCTTCACTCAAACTGTGCTCAAGGTCAAGGTCACATTTGTCTTTTTTTATGGGCCCTTTGCCATTTTCACAGCTTCACCTTCATGCACACTACCTACAATTTCACTAAATTCTCTCTCCTGATGTACTGAACAATATTCAGTTCAAAATATTTAGCAAAGCCGTTAATATGAGATTGTTTTGCAATTCCAGTGATGGTAAAGAAAGACCCGCTAGGTGGTGATCATGATCATTGTACGGTATTGGTCGATTCCCACACCAGGGAATCACCATTATGATAACATCAGCATTACAGTGAAAACTATGACACACTGATGTGACACATATTTACTATCTATGGTCATAATTACTAATGACCGTATAGTTGTAATATTCCCGTTTTTCACACATTAACCTGTGAATTGCAATGGATTGTAAGCAGTCAGGTTAAAAACTGCTACCTTTGAGTTTTTGTTTATGCAAACAACTTCATTACTTTCTAGTTAGCCTGTTAACTCAACATAATAGAAAATAATACAGAATAAAACCCAATTCTTATCTGCTGACAGGTTCACTTGAATCTTACATTATTCACTTGGTTTCATCCAAAGTTCCTTTTTTTAATAGTCCATCTCATCTGAGCTGAGATTATATCATAACTGGCCAATCATAGCTAGGTATGTTTTTCACTTGTCCAAATGTTTTATGAGTCAGTGCCAGGCAACAGGTTAAAACAGAAGCACATCAGTTCTGTCAGATGTGTGTGAGATGGGTGACAGAAAAACACAGTGAACACAGTCACACAAGACTTTATTTTCTGTTTTGGCACTTATGTGCTATAATTTAATATACAGTGTGCTAAAAAAAAATTTGTCCTTTAAGCTACAAATAAAACTTACATTAGGCAACAAATTGCCAAAGGAAATTTTTGAGGGATCAAGGAAAGTATTTCACAAACAGATTTTATCTGTGCAGCTTCCCCATTTTCATCCAAATGTAATATGTCAAACAGATCGTAATGACCACCTATCTTTAACCAGATCTAATCAATCTTCATTTTTTCACCTCTTTACAAACAGGCCTGACTTTAGTAAGCAGTTAAGCCGGTGGGATGGATGGCGACTATAGATCAGAGTGACTCGCTTTGATTGTTTCCTTATTGCTCTACCTCCTTCTCGTTTTCTCTTGTGGAGACCAGAGCAGCAGTTGTGTGACACACACAACTTAAAGAAGAGGCAACTTGTTATTTGGTCCTCGCCTGACTTCCCCTCTCTAACCCACTCAGTCTATGATCCTTTCCCCCAGGAGGCTAGTGTGTTTTACCAACTGTTTCCACTCCACAACGTTCACAACAGATGTTTTACGGGCACTTATTGCTTTGCTACTTTGATGTCCAAGCTCAATGGATGATGTGCTTGACTTAGCAATGTCTTATTAATAAATGTAGACTAAATCTATTATAGCCATACCAAAGGGAGTTAGCTGCTCAGATTTTATTCTGTACCAACGTATGATAGTGGAATTAAAATCCTTTGGTCTAACAAGTGCACAGTCTTTGTGGACGAAGCCAGAAATTTACTAGAGCTGTTGAATCTTACTCTTCAAGTGTCAGCTAATACAGTGTCTATATTAACCTAGTTACCACTGCATTCACCTGCAGGCAATAACAGACAGACAGAGCCCGAGGACAGTCACAAGTTGTAGAGAGAAAGAACTCGAGAGGGTCGAGACAATGAGAGAAAATCCCCACTGCCACAAACACCTCGGTGTTTGTGCGACCGCAGTGGTGGGACGCTCCCATAAAGAATGTGTAAGCTGATGGCGTCTGTCAGGCTCTAGCAGGCTGTTATCCAGCCATTAGATCAGATTTATCTTCATTCCCATTCGCTCGACGTCTGCCCTGAAAGCTCATTTGTCAAGGCCAGGCAGCAGGCTTCTCTCGCATCTATAACCCCCCCTCCCCACACCCTCTTACTGCCACACATCTGTGGGAGGATGTACTGGAAAATACAGTGTGACATGACAAGATAGGGGGGACATTGAGAAGGAGGGAGCACAAGGGAGGAGTTTCTTTTTTTGGGAGGGAGGTAGGAGAAACTGGCAGCCACTTAACTTGGCTCTGAGAAATAATCCATGCATCGCCTTCGAGGAGCGCCACGCTCTGTGATTTATTGGCTGTTGTTTCAGACTTGGAGACATGCAGTGTCCTCATCTCTACCCTTCTTCTCCATGACCTTTTTCTTCTCCATCTTCCTTCTTTCTTCCATTTTCCTTGCTTACTTTATCCTTTGCGATACTGTAATGCATTCGAAGTATAATGAAATCCAAAGAAAGCAGTGGTTACAGACAGTATTGTCTTTTTGAAAGGGCAGCTCAAGGCACTCTTACTGTTTGTTTTTTATTTTTTATATTGTGTTAACTGCACTATAGTTGCAGCCAAATGTCAACAAAGAAAAAAGATTAAAATTTACTATTGTCCACAAAAGGGCAATCTTGTTTCTTGGTGGTGATCGCACTGTTTTTTAATGATGAATAAATCCAAATAAGTTAGGCCCAATGCAGTTATTACAGCCTATATGTTTTCCCACCTGTTGTTGCTATGGTGCCAAACGGCAATCCGGGTCCCGATTGACCGACCACCGTGTCCTGATGGCCAGACGTGGTAAAAGAGGCATGGGGGCAAAGGCTTGCCGGATGGAGGGATGTAATGACTCTAATGTGCTACGAGTCTCTGCTAATTTCCCATCCCTTACTGTGGTTCTCCCATGACTGAGTGCTGGACTTTCACTTTGTCGTATGGCGGCCCGAGCTACAAACAGAAAACATAGTCTGTCATTTGGACTAACGACAACAGGCCAAACTGAAGAGCTTCAAACACAGACAGGCAGCTTCCTAATGAAGGCTGCTTGACATATCCAGCAGCTTGTAAATAAAGATAAATGGTAGCAGAAATTTAAAAGGCTACCGATAGATTTCTAATAAGTTTACGAGCCGGAGGAAAGTGTTGAACGCTTGCATGCTTGCTTTCTTTCCCCTTCTTGATTCTGTGCTCCTTTCTTTTTCTTTTTCTGCTTTGATTTCTTTGTATCTCGCTTGCTCTCTGATGAGATATTACCTCCGCATCTCTAGCCATTATTTAGATTTCCTTCATCCCAGCCATACCTCATAGTGTCCTCATTCAGCATCACTCATTTCCCTCCCTCGTTTGCTGCCGCTTCTGATACTGTATCTGAAATAGCCTCGGAGACCACACACTCGATCTTTTATCCACTCAGAATCATCGCCGCCACCTCTAGTTGCACAAATTACTCCCAAATAAACAATGTTCCTCATTTATTTGGTATAATCTGTGTCTCATTCTGGCCTCCTCGCTGCAGTGACAGGAAAGGAAAAGGCCATCTTAAGTCCAAACCCCCAGCCAATTACATCAGTAATTACTTGTCATAGCCACTTTCTTTCCATTTAGCTGCCGTTTTCTGCTCCTTTGGAGAGTTGGTTTGGGGTAAACATGATGTACAATGTATTAGAAATTCTAACTTGACCAAAGGGGGAGGGTAAATGAGATCTCAGAGGCAGATGCAGCAAGCTCAGTTGTTGCGAATGGGTGATGCAGGTGCGAGTTTGGGCACTTGGTGGTAGTGTTGCTCCGTGGTTGTGCTGCAGCTGGACACACTGATGTGAAACACCAGCAGCCTGCACAGAATTCCTTATAGAGGCGCATTCAAGTCGTTTGTTTTTGCTGTTACGTATGGAGATTAAGACTGCTGTGTTCACTGTGTGCTGAAAAGAGGAACAACTTGCGTAGCCTACAGAAAATGTGATGTAGTGAAAGTCAAAACAAAGTTGAGAATTGGTCCATCTGTTGCTCAACAGTCAGCAGGTATTATAGCAGTACAGAAAAATAAGAGACGACAGAGAGAACAAGTGTCCACCAGAACCCTTTAACAGCTTGCGGTGTATCTTTGCCTTCTTATTTACAGGGTATGGCCCAAAAGAGCCTAAAGAGCCCAAATGCTAAATCCAAATGCTGAACTGGGAAAGGAGCAAAACGGGAAGCGTCTTTAATACACTGCCTCTAACATTCCTTCTCTCCTTGCTTGGTGCTGCTGTGGCGTCTGGCATCTGTGCGACTAAGGGAAGTCACAGTTGGGTGGGGGGGCTCACAAATCGCTCTCAAAGATTGCTTGCTGTTAGCCGGTTTTTCCACTCCGGTGCAGGATAAGTGGGAAATCAAGCCGCCAGGTGGGCAGCTGTGCTTGCCTGCCTGCCTCTCCTTGCCTTTCGGACCATGGGAGTTATGAAGCATAAATATTCATGTCTGTCTTCACTAGCTGTTGGCAGTCCATATTTTTGTTGACATATGGTGGATGGGTTGGGACTTGAGCAGGCAGTGTGGCTGCTGGGGTGTGCATGCGTGTCTGGATCTATCAGGGTGTTTGACGGAAGCATGTTCCTTGGACACAGATACACAGTCAGCCTGATGACCTTTTGCGAACATGACAACTGTTGCTCTGGTGTCATGTCCGCTCTGTGTACCAGTTTGTTAATTGGCCCAGTTGCGCACTAACTAAAGCAGTCGTTAGCCTGCCAGCTTCATGTAATTGCTCTCCTCGAGCCGTGCCACATCATGGCCACCTGCCACGTAGCAGAAACATACAGAAGGTGATATCATGTACAGCAAAAGGGCATCTAGGGGAGTGGCGTGGGTATGTGCGAACTCAAAGATGTGGGTTTCCTAACCTCCAATTAAGCACAACATGGATATAAAGGGTCTATAAAATGACAGTATAGTGTAATACAACAACTACAAATTCAGGCCTTTAATGTTTTGTTTTTTCATCCTGTAGGTGGCGTGTCTGATCCGGGTACCCACAGAGGTGGTCAAACAGAGGGCCCAAGCTTCCCTCTCGTCCTCTACCTACAACATACTGCTGGCTACTCTTAGAGAAGAGGTATGTGGCAATCAGAAGCTCGTTTTTGGCCATTAAATTTGCGTTTATGTGTGTGTGATTTTTGGCTGTCGTTCATATCAGTAACGCTGCTGAGATATGGGATCTGAGGACATTGATGAAAACAAGCCTGTTGCCAAGAAATGCAAGCAGATTATCAAAAAGCAAACTTATCTGAAATCCAGAACTAAAGTACTCGCACTGTGAGTTTACAAGTAATGAAGTGTACTGCTAGTTCATGTGAAGCCATGATTCACGGCTGAGGTGTTGATAGTAGTTCCAAAAGGTAGCTGATCAAGGTGGGGTGAGTTTAAATGAGTATATAATTGTCCATATTCATATGTTTGAACATATAAGTAAATTAAGTTTCTGAAGTCCCCTCTGCTTTGAACCAGCTGTACCGATCAGATCCACCAATCACTGTTTTGAATGGGTGTGGATGTTGGGTCACTGATTTCATAAATTGTAATAAATTGTTAGACTCTGCCGCTCCCATCTAAACATTATGAGTGTTGGGTGGGTGTGGGATGTAGGGTGGGGGGTTTAAGCCGATGGTTGGAGCATACCAGCACCTTAACCCTAACAGCTCTCTGTGAAGAAGCTGAATAAACTTTGTTCCCACTGATGAATTATACAAGTGCTTGATCTGTACATTGACTGATGTGCATTCAAGCAAAAATTAGATTTTATTTGTTAGATTTAAACATTTTTTTTCCTGTTGTTTCTCGGGGCAGGGGGTTCGAGGCTTGTACAGAGGATATGGCAGTACGGTTCTCAGAGAGGTAGGTTTCATTCACGGGTTATCTTCACACTCAGTCCCTCGCTTGTGTCTGTCATCCACTGTTGGTACCATCATCAGTACCTGTTCCACAGCAGATCCTGCACTTGTGTCTGTCTTTGGTAAAGTTTAGTTCCAGGTAATTACAAAGTACGTCGTACAGATCATATTGAAATCAATACTAAAAACAGCTCCTCAGCTCTTTGAAAGATGTGTGGTGGATTTTTTTGGATAGGTTGAACGGATATTGAGGCTTTCCACGCTTGTGACTGAAGACAATTTAATTTCTCTTGGGTTGGATTGAAGTTTGTAGTATTGATTTACAGATGTTTTTTTTTCCTCCCTCACTTTCATCTCAGTCAATTACTTGCACAAGATGTGTGCTCTCCTTTTTAGAGCTAAATCTGATTAATTAATTCAATTACTCTGGTTATAAATGCAAAACAAAACAAGGATAAATGAGTACTGGGCTAAACTCCCTTGATAGGCGCTCACCTTTTTGTAATGGAGAAAAAAAAGCAGCTCTAGTTCTTTGATTCATGATCCTCTCCCTAATTGCACCTGCAGTGCATGATATTGCAAAATAATTGCGGGAAGCATTGTATGGGTGTTTTGAGTTTCAATAGAAGTGGAAAAAGAAAATGGAGAGGGAGAAAGAAGTATATGAAGGTGACACTTGTCTTTTTTTTTTTTTTTTTAGGGAGGTGGGTGAGGGCGTAATCTAGTCCCCTCTGCTGTGCTAGCCTGTACTTATTTTCTGCCTCACTAAACTGATGTTATTCACGCAAATTCCATCTGGACAGCCAGGGAAAAAAAGGACAACAAGACACTGTGATTTCTCCGAGGGGCTCTGAATAAATGAATACATTTGGAGGCTGGCGCACGGCCTGTGTGCATACTAACACTGGCAGATGAAACGCAGCGGTGGCGGCAGGGATTTGGGGCACGGGAACGGCAAAGGATGCTTCGTGGTGATTGGCTTTGACGTGTGTCAGGAAGGTAATTCATTTTCTCTCAGCCTCCGTCGCTATCCGCCCATCTCGCTCCTTTGGCCAAGAGACCCTGTCAAGATAAGTTTGTTTATGTGGTACGGCATGGCGCCTCCCTGCTCTCACTGGCCCACTAATTGAGGTCCTATCTGTGCTATATATTCATTAGGCAGCCTTCAGAAGGCTTTTCTGATGGGTATGATATCGCATTAGCGCCCAGTGTGCAAGAATCCACTTTGATCAACTTGGAGGGTGGAGTAAAGGAGTACAAGTGTCACATCTGTTGTGATCCGTTTGTCATTGTTGCGCCAGCCTACATGTACGGGCGGTTTTTGCCCAGCACACCCCGGCTTTGCCCAAAGTTGTCCTTAAAACTTAAATCTAAATTATTGATTAATAGGATTTCAGTTCTTTTTAATTTTGCACCACATTAATCTTTATTGCGGTATACCCTTTCTGTCAAGTTTTCTGCTGAGTTGGCATCTTATGGGTTCCAACTGAACAGAGCATGAAATCACTGAGATTTAGATTGGGGTGAAGGAAACTGGAGCGCGGTGAAAAATTACTTTATTCTGCTCTAGAAAAACAAGGACCTTTTTTAATTAACACCAGCAAGACTTTGTTCAGGACTTTGAGAGAGACTACACTTGCCCCATATCCCACATAAGCTGTTGATGTTGTCTGTGTGTTAATTTGCATTCATTGTATGAAAACACACAGGGTAATCTTCCGAGTCTAATCAAGACTCTAATTATATGTCATCAGTAGTAGTGGTCCTCATTTCGTCAGGATTTCCTGCACTTGCGCTGTTTTGGATTGTACCATCTTTCTCCACTAGATGGCATGTTAAGATTGGTACTGCCTTTATGAAGCTCGTGCCTGACTTGTGTTTGAATTCCACACAATCTGTACTTCCCTTCTTCCCTCTCCTCACCTATCAGTACCAATCCAGCTCCATGACATTTATGCACAGCAGTTACTGATTTTTAAAAGAAATTATTTATTTTTATATCGAGCCCTTTTTTTCTGATCTAACATATTCAGAGGCAATATTGAGTAACGAGTCTTAAGTGGGTTATTAGACGGTGTTTAGTAATGTGGTGTTGTGTGGGTTGCGGAGTGGCAGGTGTAAGTAAAGCTGGCTCTGTAAAATGCACCTTGTCTCAGTGACTCTGACATACAGCCAGTCTACATATAATCACTTATAGTTATGTTCTGGAAAGTGTCTGCTTAATCTGAATGCCCTTAATAAACACATTTAATCTAGGAAGCACACAGACAGGGGAGGTATTTGAGCCACCCAAGTTAAAGCAAAACCGGGTGTTAGAATGACTTCCCTTTACCAGCATTACATATAGTTTGCTTAATACAACCCCTCCTCCAAAGCTTCCCCACTTCAGCAGCTGGGACCTGGCAATGCAAAGCACAGGATCTGGCAGCTGGGCTTATGAAACACCTCTCCATCCAGGCTCCCCCATCCCAGCTCTGCTTTCTATTTATCCATCTCCTCTTCAATCTGCTGCCCGATTCCCCCCCGCCCCCGCCCCCGCCTTCTCCAGCAGAGGGCTTAGCTGTAAGGAAAGACACGCTAACCTGGGATTTAACTGTTACCAACAGATCAAATACAAATTGGAGCTGATTTGTATTTGAGCTACAGAAAAGTGACATATGAGAGAAAAATATGAACCAAAGACTGCATTTTGCCACAATTTGACCAGCTTAAACAGAGTTCTCTTTAACTCTGCTTGAATATGTTGTTACATTGAGCGTTCGGATGTCATAATGATCATTAATTGTGTTTAAATGGTAACCACACTAGGGTCATTTAGGAAACTCAGCGTGTGCCATGTCTGACAGCTCAGGTCTTGTGGTGTGTACACTGGGTTATAATTGTCAGAAACAATGTGGAGGTGGATGCTGCTTCCTCTGGTGGAATCCTAAGGTTGAAGTTGTCTCAACAGGCACACAGCAGAGCAAAGGTGACCCGTGTGTGTGTGTGTGTTTGTGAACCCTCTCCCCATCCCCCCTTTTTTGTGTCCACCCTTCACCCTTGATGTGGGTTCAAAAGGGGAATCACTCTATATCCTGTGTCTGTGCACACTGATCCATAAAGGCTCATGTTTATATACCCTCATATGACTGAGACAGAGCAAAAAGAGGGGAAAAAAGAAGTGGTAGTAGAAGCGAAGGTTGTTTATTTTCCTCTAATATGTAAAGGTAGGATTTGTGTGACACATGTAAAGGAGTGAAGGCTTCCTCCTGCGTTGTGCTTTAGAGTTGGAGCTCATCGGAGCAGCTGCCGCTAGTCTCAGAGACCCAGACCGCAAACCAACTCTTAAATTACTTCAACGCCTTTAAAAGCTTAACAAGACTGGATTAAATAAGAAGGAAAATGCACTGGAAAAAAGAGAAATTAAGCCAAGGAAAATATTAAGCTGTCATTCAAAAATGAAATAGAAGGCTCACTAGTGAGATGAATGTGTTCACTTATTTTGGGGCTTTTCTTGATTCGTTTTGCACTGTTTGTGTGAGCCATTTTCATTTCATAACTGTTTGCTATTATACAGTTATAGAATAAGACTTTTATCAGCCTCTGAAATTAATAAAATGGAGCGTTGCTCCGATGGGTTCACATCAGAAGCGAATGGGAGCTGCTGGTGTTATCTGTTTACTCTGTGATCAGTGAGCAGGCTAAGAGGACTGAGGAAGCCTGTTGACCTCAGTAGATCTGATCCTTGACCTGTGACCTGTGAAGGGCTATATGTGTGTGTTTGCATGTGCTCCTGTGATATGGAGGAACCGTAGAGGGATGTCTGCCATCTTGGTGTTTTGAGTCAGAACTGTCAAAGTACACATTCAAAGTATATTTACATTATACATACACAGTGGTGGTCAGAAGTTTACAAACACTCTTCATGGGCATGGTTTTAGCCAAATATTTCACTACTTTTCCTGGCAGAATAGATTGGTTTCCTGCTACTGACTTGGCATTTAAGTTTAGTTTGCAATTTTATAATGGGGTTGAGTTTGGGGATCTTCTAAGTCTTTTCCAAAAGTTTAGTGTCACCCTGCTTTATTCATTGTAGACGTTTTCGTGTGTGTTTGGGATCATTGTCATTATGGAACATACAATTGTGTAAAGATTAAACTATTTAGCTGTTGATTCTGAGGTGAAGTTGAAAAATGTAGAGGTAGTTGTCTTCCTTCATCCTTCCTTCATTATTCCATCCACTTTGTGGAGCATTCAAGTACCACTGGAAGCAAAAAAGCCTAAATTACCCAAACTGAGTTTATGTAAACTTTTGACTACAACTGTTTTGGTCAACAATTAGTTGGACCACCCCATATAATAGAATAGAATAGAATAGAATAGAATAGAATAGAATATAGGGAACCATTTAAAAATAGGACCAATAGCCAAGGATGTCCTTGGCTATTGGTCAAGGACATCCTTGAAAAAGTACAAAATAAGTCAGTTTGTTCCACAGGAAGTCCAGCTATCAGTACAAAGAAAAGTACGACTGTATAGTGTGTATTAAAGAAGATAATAGAAAGTAAGGGGAGGATGATGTAGATTTATTTGGCGTTTACCTTAATTTGTCACCAGTGGCTAGCTGAAACGTCCATATGTTCAATCAAATTAGGTGATTGGTGTTGGGGATGTCCTTGCAAGTACCAGTTCATAAAAAGAAGGCTTTGAGTGACTTCCAGAACATTTAATGACAAGCAGTGACTTTGATAAAATAAATTTAAAGAATACACGATTGGAGGCCTTAGCTTGATTTCTCGGTTCGTATCATTCCTTTCTTTACTGTCAACTTTCTTGACTTATGGGATACTCTTTTTGAGTCCTGCCCCTGTTTGCATTGCTTCCAGGCCAGGCTGACTCTTGTTAGAAGAGTGATGACCTTCTTAAGCGATCCACTTGTCGCTGGATGATTTGTATCACTTTATCATAGATGTCACTCAAGGGAATAATGGTTTTCCTCCCACTGCCATTATGGATGACGGATGA